AGTATGGCAGTAATCTACATGGTGATATATGCATTAGTCATTAGTTAGTCATTAGTTATGAATCAGTACAGCTACACCAACAAAACGCTTTTACAAGTATGGCAGTAATCTACATGGTGATATATGGATATCCTTTCAGATAAATCCAACCTGGGTTCTAAAAACTACCAAATAAGAAACTTTAGACACACATCATTGCCCTAAATTCTGCCATGTATGTGATTAATTTAAAAAAAGTTTTTCAGTCTACTCAGAGAATCTGGATTGCTTACAAGAAAATTCCCTAACACACGCAAAATGCAATGAAATGACAAGCTGAATACAAACAGACATCAGGTGACCTATGGGTCAGGTAAATCATTGGTATGAGTTCCCTTTTTTATTTTAGAAAACATGTTAATTATTAATCGCAAATACAGGTAAATACAAAAAGAGTAAAATTATAAGACTGTTTAGATTTAGTTAAGTTATGTTACTTGACTTTACATCACAAGTGTAACACTATCAAAACTGTAAAGTAATTAAAGAAATGTCAGTCTGACACCTCCAGAAATAGTCAGAGACTAATCACATTTTAAAGTATGTTTAATATACTGTATATATATCTAGTCAAGTCCTAGGACTTTCTTATTGATCTTACAGCTTCTGTGATGTTCCACAGTGATGTGTGAGCTTTACATGTTAATAGCTCAATTTATGTTGTGAATTATAAAGTCTTCTTGCAATGCGTTGTTATTGCACTTAAGCAAGCATTGATATAAACATGTCTACAAAAAACGGTAATTGCGATGGAATGTATTTTGCTCGAGCAAACAAACTTTATAGGAGGGAAACACTAGAGCCTCTTCGGAACGCATGTAGCAGAGGAGTGACACTACTTTACACGAGGTACTCTGCCACCATAAAGTTCTCTTTTTAATATAGAAATTCTGTGGGCAAAATGCGTTCGAAGGATGCTGTTTTGGACCAACGTGTTGCGTGGCTATAAAAACTTCTCGCATGTGTGTTGAAGTTTGTGCAGCGAGTTTAAAATGCCCACTGTGACCAATCCGACTGATCCAGTGCTGTTTAACCAACTATGCCAACTTGAATTCCTGCAGCCAACATCACCACATGGTGCGTTCGGCGGCACTCCAATAATTTAAGCAGACTTTAACTTATTTCTCCTTTTAAAAATCCACTAAACATCGTCGTTAGCAACGCTAGCTCTGCTAACTACTTGTTAGCTGGCTGATGCTTGGCCTATTTCCCACTTGTGCATCACTACACTAACAGTTTAAATGTTTGCAATTTTTGAACGTTACATTGTATTTACCTTGAAAATGGGGAGCTGTGGACCCAGTCAGCGGGCTCTCTTCTGGACTTCCCTGGGTCTTTTATCCAAACCGGGGTATGTGGTGGAGCCACGAGAGGATAACACTGGTTGTTCCAGCCAGATATAATTCCCTCCTGTCTGGTCCCTGGGCTTCTGAGCTGCAGCAGTGAATGTTAGCACCGGTCTGCACTCAGCTACCAGCAGCTAACACGATAGCCACAGCAGCTAACCAGCATCTGAGAGCAAAGCTAAGATAATGCTAAGAGCTATTAGCCTAAAAAATAAAGTGAGCTAACGTCTGCGTTTGTGTAAAACAGACGCTTAGGTCTGAAAAACAGCGGGCTCCGTCCTTCGAATAGGTGCCGTATGACAGTCTCAGATAAATACAACAGGTAAAACTCGTCCACGGAGATCAGATTTGTGACGTTCATAGGTTCCACGACACCCGCCAGGATCCGTTCGTCTCCTGCTGTTGAGAAGCACTCTCTCTACACTGATCAGTAGCGCATCTTGATGACGACAGCTTTTGTGTGGTTATAGGGCGCTTACTTGTGACGTGCAGAAGGTACAACTTAAAGGTGTCGAAATGATAAAAACAGTCCGCACAATATTCCGGAGTACTTCTTTGAAAATGTGTTTATTTGAGTAATGTTCCATTTTAACCAACGACAGGTTATTTATTTAAAACTATATTGGATGTGATTTTGCATTGCATTATATTGTGATGTAATGTATTACAGTGTATGATACTGCAATTTATCACATGTATTGTGTTGTTTGTATGTAATTTAGCACTAAGTCATTATCAATAAACTTTAGTTTGTATCAGCATTCAGACTATACCACATAAATCAGATTTATTGACATAATCTTTTAAAAGGCTCTTCCCCCTTCTTCTACTTCTACCTTAATTGTTTTACTGTATTTTCACTGTGTTATTTCTCAGTGCATGCCAAAGCCTTGTAAACTGTCTACTCCTAACTTTGTGATGCTTAAACACATTTTTCCTTCAGTTTTATCTTTCACTGTGTTATTTCTCAGTGCTTGCCTTGTAAACTGTCTACGCCTAACTTTGTGATGCTTCAACACATTTTTCCTTCAGTTTTATCTTTTGCCTCCCCTTCAAACATCTCCATGGGCTCCTTCACTACATCCATGAATCTTCTCTTCCTGCCTGGTAGCTCAGTGTTCAGCGTTCTTTGTGTAATGCGTCCGTTATCTTTTCCCAGCAAATGTCTAAACCATTTAAACTTTGCTTTTCTAACTTTATCTCCAACGTACACATTCTTATCTTTGTGTCCTTTTCGAACCATAATTCGTTGAATATTTCAGGTAACCTGTGCTTTGTTGGGGTGCATTCACAAATAAGAAAGAATGAAAAAAGCTGCGGTGGATGAGTGTACTCTGGTGACCGGGGTTAGCCCTACCGTGCCAGCTTTGGTTAGCTTTAGCTCCTGGTGATTTTCATGCCCTGTATCTGGATCCTCCAGGGAGAGTCTGAAAGCCTGAGATATCACAAAGCACCAATCATGTGATCCTGAGAAGTGTGCAAATGAGGCTGGCAGCCAGTCAAAGAGAGATGAAAAGCACATACTGGAAACAAAGGGCGACTGTAAATATCCTTGTTGTGCTAATACATGCAGCCAAAAATGGGTCTGACAGCAGCTGTGTGTGTTTTTATGTAAATGTGACTCGACACCATAATCACAATCTTGTCTCCAAACTACTGTTATTGTTGTTTCTTTGCCTCATGTTTCTTCACGTCCCATGGATTGTCTGTCATTTAAACAGACTTTATTTAAAAAAACAGTTTTATGATGTAATTGTCAACTACTAAATACAATAATCTAAGGCAGTAATTTCAGGCCACTTTACAAATATTTGAAAATATTATTATTATTATTATTATTATTATATAAGTATTACTCCTAAGGCTGTATACAGACGTATTAATACATCTAAGTAGGGAATTATTCAAAGTTATAATCTGATTATTATTAATATTATTAAGACAGTTTTGATTAATATTACATAATCAGTATAAAGTTATCATTATGCAATCCTTTTTGCAAGGCTGTGTGACTTTAAATCAGAATATGACGTTATCTTGACATTTTAAGGCTAGTCAAGGTCTACTCTCAGTTCATTTAAACCCAAAATACCAACAGCAAAGTTATTATTTTTTGTCAAATTAATTGTATTTAACTTTCACAATAGTCAACTGGCCAGTAATGTTTTTAAATCTGGGAAAATAAAAAAGCCAAGCAAATCTGTTTGTTATGTTTGACCATTTCTTGTTGATTTAACTCAGTTAAAGAATCCCTGGAGACACCTCAGAGTCAGTGACGACATGATGTGGCCGTAAAACCGGGGACTTTCTAAATAGCACCAGGTCATGTTAATGCTACTGTTTATTGAAAACCCGGTTTAAATAAAGCACACAGTGAAAACTTGTCGTCCTCAAACAAGCTTAAAATGGTGTGTAATTGTCCATGTTTAAAAGTAAACAAATTAAATCTTGTTTACTACAATGAAAACTCAGAGAACACAAACTTGTTGTGTTTTCTGCAGCTTCAGTTGTGTCCTTTAATCAACTTTCTAACTGGCAGGAGAGGCGATGTATCGTAGGAGGCAAGTAAAAGTTTCACACACTCTAAGCTGCTAATCACAGATCTGTTGTGAAGTCTCCGACACACACTCTCACACACGCAGATTCCCTAGTGAATTTGCAGATTGCCTAAGAATGACTGAATGTGGTGATTGCAACAGACACGCAGCGCTCTGAAGGCACCGCCTGTTGCCGCCACCGCTGCTGCTGCTGCTGCTGCTGCTGTGTAACACAGATTCAGTCAATTTAAAGACTTGTCACTGCAAATATGAACTGTAATCCAGCTACATGTCATGTCACCTCAGGTTAGGTACACATTAAAGATGAAATATGTGACAATCATTTATGTTTTACAGTCATATAAACC